ACTGTATCTCACTGCAAATTTTACTTTTCCATTGTTTGAATTCTTGAGGGTCCACATTGGCTTCATAACATCTTTATAACCATAAAGGCTAGAAATTTGTCTTTGGGGGAATAGGCTTTGACACAATTACAATGATTGTTGGAGATTGCATTCTATATTTCCCAGTGCAACTTTCTGTGTATTTTGTGTTAAGTTGTGTTGAAGAATTGAAATGTATTGCCCTGGCAACAGTTGAACATTTCTGTTATTTGTGCCTTATTTTTCCCTCTCCTGATTCCACAGAGATGACCTTATCCGAGCAATTAAGAAGCTGAAAGTTTTAGGAAATGGCTTCGGGATTCTTCCTGTTGGCGGGACATACCTGATCCAGTCTGTGCCAGCTGAACTAAACATGGATCACACTGTTGTGATACAGCTTGCTGAGGTACCTATACTAGAAAAGAATGTGTTTCTGCATGTTGAATTAGAGATTTGAATAGGAACTACTACAGGGGAGATAAATTTGGGATTATATGATCTAGTTGGGGAGAGAAGAAATAATCCACCCTTTTTGCATGCTGCAATTCCAATCTGTATTGGGTCCTGTATGTTTCTTAAAAATAAAAAAGTAAGTAGTTGGGAAACATATTTAGGTCAACAAAAGATTAATGTATTCATAGTTCACAATTTCTTTCATCTAACATATGTTTGTTTCACAGAACTATGCACATCACATTGAAACCACAGACAATAAGCCAATACCAAATTATTATTTCAAACTGTTTTATTATCTTAAACAAACTATAGATTATTCAGATCTCTATTCAGTGCCACGCTAAGCAAAAAACAAACTTACTCTATGTTTCATATTAGACAGCATATAAACAGAGCAGTTCTTTTTCCCAATCTGTACAGTCCAGTTCTTTCTCCAGACAGATTTTAGAATTCTGTGAAAAATCTTAAGTAAGTGCTATTTTGCATGATACTGTTTCCTTATAGTTTCATTAGGAAAAAAAACTGGTAAGGAAATATTTTCTAAAATTAAATCGGAGATATTAGGATGTTATTTGATGTTTGGGGATGCAAAGCACATGTTCTCTTTTTGCTATGTCTCCTCCAAAACAGCAGTCACTAATTGTATTTTATTCTCTTTTTATTTTTTATGCATTCTTTTTCTGCCTTGGCAAATGTACTGAAATCCTATTTTTTTCCATTCTAAATTTCAGAAAAAGGGGTATGTGACTATAAGTGAAATCAAGTCCAGTTTAAAGTGGGAAATGGAACGAGCCAAGCAAGTGCTGGTATGTCAGTAATTTGGACATATAATAAAGAACTGCCTTTATTTGGGTTTCAAATTCAGATTTTTAAAAAGTTGGAAATATTGTTTTCCCCAGAAGCTGATAATATTTACAGAATCCTCATATGGCATCTTGTTTGTTTAATTAAGTAATGGGACCAGCATTACACTATACTTTGTAATATTTCAGTATTTGTTCTTGAAATATTTCTTGTTTCTAGGCAACCATCAAAGCCATGAGATTTTGGGCAAGATCACTGAAATATAAAATAGGCTTTTTCAACTGTTTAAAATAATAATATATAACCTTGCTTGAGATGACTCAGTGGCATAAAAAGGCAGCTGAGCTTTGCATTGTGACAAGGTGTTTATAATTATATAATTATGAAATTCTCCCTATTTGGCATTTCAGTCTGTTGTTCCCACCTTCTCTCCCAAATATGAGCCGGTGTTTCATGGTCACTAAACAAGCTCAGTGCCTATTACAGTTCGTGCCATAATTCACTTACTTTTGATTACTTTTTTTTCTTTTTCTCTTTTCTTCCCCAACAGGATCATTTGCTGAAGGAAGGGATGGCCTGGCTTGATACACAAGCTCCAGGAGAGCCACAGTATTGGCTACCTGCCCTCTTTACGGAACTGTACTCTCAGGAAATCACACCCGAAGAAGCAAAGGAAGCTTTACCTTGACAATATCAAAGATGTGTAATAACTGAACACAGAATTAGGTCAATTGCTGGTTGTTAATATGGTAATATTGAACAGTAGTTATTACCTTGGATCTTAAAACATAAGAAAATTTCTGCTTTGCTAAAACCTGATTTCACATGTTTGATACTAAATGTGGATTTCTGCCAAATGAAGATTTTTATTTCATTAGCAAATTCCTGGTTCTTGTAATGGGGAGGAGACAGGAGGGAGTCTGTCCAAAATTGTAGCCTTTTCTTTCAGTTATTGTAAATGTTTAGGACGAGGACTGATGTGGGATGCTAAAATTGTTTTAATTTATTTTCAATTGCTTATCCCGAGATTGTTGAGTAGTATATTGACTGAACTATATACATACTGAATCCCTTCACTTGTAAAGGGTTCTGTGTAAGTTGTTTCTGTATGATGAAACAGCTGAATTTTTAAATTAATAACTTAGATTTTGGGTAAAGGACCAAATTATTATTTCCAACTTATTCATAATTGGAGGTTTCTACAATTTCATTAAAAAAAGCAAAAGTATCTGGAAAGACTGTTTAGAAAGTCATGGGTAATGCTTAGTCCAATTTCAGCCATTCAGGCAGTCAGGATTCCTTTGACCTGAGATACTGTGTGAAAATATATCTTCACAACCGTAACCATGTTGTGCCTTAGCATGTTGAAATCTGTAAACAGTAAATATACCCTTCCATATTTGTGCAGTGCACATACAAAGTTGAAATTCATAAAGCTATGTCTTAAACTTCATGTTGTGGATATAAAACTTTATCGACATTTGAAAAACTATTGACTGCATTGAAGTCTTACTAATTTCCATAAAACAATAAGTTTATATTCTTATATAATTCATGCATACAAAAAAAAAAAAAACCAGGATAAAACTTGTTTGAGGACTGACTGAAAAGTTACACTTAGCCTAGTAAAAGAGTTTTCTGTAGCTATATTCACAGATCATGCCATGTGGAAGAAGAAATTGCTTCCTTTAACATCCTAAGAATCATCTTATGACTTCATACAAAATACAAGGAAAAATTGATTGGGAATAATTTATGTACAGAGTTGGCCTGCTATAGATTGATGCCCTATCCAATGGTATTGAGGTTATGAAAAGATCAAAAGACAGCTACTTATCTAGAAGATGCAAGTAATAGGCTAATGACTTCCCACAAAAATTACTGGACAGAGTCATACTGTAGTGCAGGAACTCAATCTAAGCTATGTTTTACTTTACTATTGGTATCCTATAATTCCCTATCAAGAGAAACAATACTGATAAAATATTGGCAATAAAATGAAGAGTAAACTATTTTGAATGCAAAATTAGTACTTCCGATGTACAAAAAATAAAATCTGAATTTCACATTAATTTGGAAGATTACTTCGTTAACAAAGCAGACCAGTGCTCTGGGCATTTTTCTTGTTATCCAAAAGTATACAAAAAGCCATTTTCTTTTCATGCACAACTTTTTTTTAAACAGAACTTTTATTTTTCAGGTTGAAATGTATGGTTTCCAGATGCCTTATAATTTTTCAGGATTCAGATTAGCCAATATTTGAAGACTATCAAAAGCCAAACTTGATATAAGATCTGATGCTTCTATTTCTTATTTGAGATTGAGCTTAACTCGTGCTATAAAAAGAAACAACACCTAACAGTATTGGAATCTCTTTAGCTTTTTTTCTGTATCCTCTGAAATTATATCAGTTTGTAATCAGTGATTTTTCTCTATTTATTAGGCCTAATTAAAAAAAAATCTACTTGATTATTGATGGTATGAATTTCTTCCATTGTGATTGCTTGAAGCCATTTAAGCACCACCTTCCTATTGCTTTTGCAAACACAGTTCTATAAGTTTACTCTGGAAAAAGTTGTATTCCAGAGCAATTTCTGGTATACATGCACTGCAGCCAAACAGTGTAATCCTAAATTTCTTTACTAATTCACATAGAGCTCAATAGGATTTTCTCCTAAGTAGGCATGTGTATACGATACCCCCTTGAATATTAAAACACATTCACATACCCATATGCACACTGTTCTATAGTGTGGAACATGAAGGGGAAGGGAGGGAATAATCACAATCATTCTTCCAGAATCAGAATTTATTTTATTTTTAATTTGGGGTAAGACGGAGTCAAATTTTATGTGTTCACAAATAGAAAGGGAGTCACTTCTTGTGAATTGCTTGCAAATGCTAGTGACAGCTACTGTCAAAATGAGATTGAATGGCAGGTTAGAAGGCTTTTTTCCCCTTTCTCTTGTGCAACTCATTCAAATCCTCCCAGAACCTAGCATGGAAAACCTATTTAACCAGCCAAAGCAAAGCTTACATTATGGCTTAAGAGTAATATGTGAAACTATTTTGCAATTTGCCCAGGAAAGCATTGTGGCTCAATGTATTTCTGGACATTTTTTTCTGAATTGGAAGCTATACTCCAAAAAGGTGCTTTTATTTAATGTATTCTTAAATTCACATGTTTATTATCCAGGTCTGTATTTTCATTCCTTGGCCACATGATCTTTGGAAGCTTTGGGGAATGGAAGCACCAGGGGATTTAATGTTTATACACTGCCCTGAGAGCATGTTACACACATCTAATACACATATTTCTTATGTCATCTGGATTTTGCAATGGGAGTTATTTAGAATGCTTATTAGGATTTTTCTCTTTATCTCCACTGCTTTTGGAAGAACAGAATTTAGAACTCTTTCAAGATCATAGGTTGGAGTGGAACAATCTAGCTTCCAGTAGGAAATCCCATCATTGCAGATCTGCTAATGATGCTGGAGAAATAGCATATATTAAGTATATTTAGATAGTTCTTTCAGTCTCTAACATATATTATGGGTAGGTGGCATTTTTATATTTCAGATATGACACAGTTGAACTCCAGATCCTGCCAAAACAAACTTTATTGCACCAAAAAAAAAACAAAAAAAACTCCTTATATACAACTGTATATAAACAAGGTTTCTTTATTTGAAGATCCTTGTGCATTTGTTTTATTTTTTTCCCTTAAGCTTGTTAGGTCTAAAATTATGTCACTAACATTTGTCTAGATCAGTCATCTAGGATTGTCACTTTTTAAAATGGAAACGTTCAGAAGACAGATTATGGGCAGCTACAAAATCAGATTCCTTTCTTACACCCACATGCGAGCCATATGAAAAAAAAAAATCACATAAGGCATTTTCCATGTTTTGTTTTAAAGAAATGTATGCAATACTTCAACAGCCAACATGCATCTGGAGTTAAGATGCCTTGAAATCATAGTACTCTAATCCAGAAGCACTTCTAGCCCTAGTGAATAACATGGCGAAACCCAAATTTATTCAGTTGGCACAAAGTGCGTAAGGCCTAAGTCTCCCTGATTCCTTTAATTTTGAAGGAAGTGAGAAAGATAAGTAAATCTGACTTTTGTTGGATTGTATCTAAAGAGATTAAAATGAACATGATAAAAAATTTGTCTCAAGACCTTCCCTTTTACAAGGCATCTACACGTAAACTTGTATTGCAATGGTTGTTTTTTTCAGATACTACCAGTTATTTATATCCCTTGGACAGACTCCTTTTGGGGAGAGATTCTTAGGTGAAATCAGTTTTTCCACCCAAAGCTACAGGGTATTTTGAGCTGCAAAATGCCCTCTTATATCCCCAAAAAAGGACAAGAACAGCTGGAAGGATACTGCCTATGAACGTACAGGATGTTTAAAGGGCGAGGTGAGATGGATGGCAGGTGCAAGCATGGAATCCTATATATTACTAGGCTGATGGCTGAATATAGTCTTTCCTATAGAATGGCTCCTGCTTCAGATCACATGTGCGTCAGTAATCAACATCAATTCCCTCAATTTTCTAAAGGCTTAGAGCCAGTTCTAAAAGTGCTAAGTCTTCTGGATCTTCTCTAGAAAGAGTTAAAATTCCTACATTAATTCCCCCCCCCCCCCACCAGAAATCTGGAGTCTTTTTTTGTATCATAGATGCAATCTGGAAGAATGGAGTTAGGATAGATTTTATAGAAACTCATCCACTACGGTGACTCCATATTTCAGGTTCAATAAACTCTTATTAAAATAAGACCTGATCCTTTGACTGGATACTTCCAACAATGTATTCCCTAGGCTTAACAGTCTAAGAGGCATTTCTTATTTCTCTGTCACGAAGCTCCTAGTTATGTTCTCCCTGCCTCCCAAAAATAAAGCATGGAAGCTAAAGCTACTTCAGATAAACATGCTAATTTGTTGGTGCTGATGCATTTATTTGTACTTCAGTTCTGCAATCATTACTTCTCCCATACAATACTCATCTCCAAAATTATGTCCATCTTACCAAAGGAGAGCATTTTTTTTCTCCTTTAGTGCCACCAAAAATGGTCAGTAAAATGAGGTAAAGTAAAGTTTGCTTTGGAAAGCTGAAGATTGACATGCACAATAGGTTTAAACATAAATTTTAATTCTTTTCCTGGGTTGCGTTTTACTCTTCCTGCTGGGACTTTGGATGAAAGTCAGGAAAATGGGAATTTAATAAAGCTGTGAAAAATTCAAATGAAAGAAAACATGAAACCTAGTTTCAGCAGAAATTCTTCCTCTTTGGTCTGTCTTTAAGACAGGCAACATCAAACCAACTGGTAAGCTACAGTGCACCAAATTTAAAGAAATAAGATGTGATGTACAAATAGTCAAAAAGTGCTTTACCAGACTCAATTACTGGGAGCCCATCAAAATGTAGAAACAAGCTGGGAGGGAAGTGCTAGGAATATGCAGTACATTTATGAAACAAGGACAATGGAACAAGGAGCCATGCTTTATCTCATGCTCTTTCGAGACTTGGTGGAAAGGGAGACATAAACCTGCCTACAGGTTTTTCCAAAATGCTTTTTTTTTTTTTTTTGGCGTGTCATTCACTCAGAGGTGTCCAGCAGAGGGAAGGGTCATTTCTAAAATGCAGCCTCTCCCAAGCCCAGTTAGCTCTTTTAACAGGATGTACCAGAGCCCTTGAGGGAGGTAACAAAAGGCTGTTTTTCCACTTGTGTGCTCACTCTGGAACCTAAACAGTTCTTAGGTCTCTCTGGGGTCCTCCACAGCACCTGGAGTTGGAAGATCCCACCCTCACGTTTTGGATTCCCAAGTAATCGGGTAGGAGGCATCTAAATCTTAATGCTCCCCTGAGTGTCTGTTTCTGTTTCGGAAGAGCTGCTTTCTGAGTCTATCTCTGGATTCTCCTGCTGGTGCTTCTCCTGAACCTTCAGGCGGATTGCTTGCAAACGTACTAAAAGGGACTGGTAGTCAAAGTGTCCTCGCTTCTCTCCAAAGGGGTCCTGGAAGGGGAGGAAAAAAATGCAGATTTCAGGGCCATTGGCAGATCAGTAAATCAAAAGGAATTTAAGCAGTAATAAAATAATTCTTCTATATTCACTCTAAATTACATTAACAAATGAAAAGAGCTTGAAAAAGCTGGAAAGAGATATGTAAATTCTGTGAGAAATACTAATTGGCGGGTTCAGAATTTCTGAATTAGGCTTTAATTTAAGTACCGGTTCTGATTCCTCAGCTGCTTTGGCATTCTTGATGACATCCTTGCTCCTGCCGTAGAATGCTATCTCTGACATCCTCTATTTATTCAAGCAGTGTTTTCTTCTGCATGGATAATTACAATCTTGTTCTGGACAAAATAAGTGGGCAGGTTTTGGCCCTGCTGCCCTGCATCAAGCATCTTCAATCATTTTTTGCCTTTACTCCAAAAGGGATGTTTTAAAACTGAAATCCCTACAGAGATCTGGCAGCAGAGCTTTGGGGGAGAAAAAATGGCTAATCTAATAACTATGATTTGTTTGAACTAACTTGCATAACACAATGAACCATACAATAACCACACTGACTTAGTTCAAACAACATACTGAGCCACCAATTAGCCAAACACAAGGTAGCTTAATATGCTGTGTATTCCCAGTCAGTCTATGCACACACCTGATATGGATTCCCAATGGCATCCTATAAACTCAAATATAGCTTATCTACAATGGAAACTTTGAGTATATATCCAGCATGCATTTTAAGATGCTGCTATGGTCTAGAAACAGAATTCACCAAAAAATTTCTTGCACAATAATTTCAGAGGAACATACATAAGAGAACAATGAGCTGAACAACAGCCAATGGCTAAAAACTACTAAAGAGCTTGTCGGTATCAAAAATATTGACAAATATCAGTATCAAATGAACAGTCTACATTTAGAATCTTGCATTGAGAAAATATGACCAGTACAAAAATAATCTAAAGTCTGTGATGGCTCTTTCTGTGAAGAAAATGGCATCTCTAAACAAACTTCTTATTTTAGACTGGGGCTGAGCAATCTTTTTGGTGAGCATAGGTTCGTATTTTACATATGGTGGGGAGAGCAAAAGCAATGGTCCAAAATAGGTACAGTCATGTCACATATATGTGGCCATGATGCTTGGGGTTTTTTTCCTGATGTTTTTTAAGAAGCAGAGTTTTTTTCTTTTAGAAAAAGAGGTAAACTAATTTTCAGGCAAACATATAGAAAAAGCCAGTAGTTAATAGAGAAGAGGTTTACAGTAATTTCCTGTTTACTATCCTAACATTCCATGTGTTAGAGAAGTATTCAAACTAAAGCAGAATAATACAGAAATATGACATGCAAGTTTATTGATTGCATACCTCAGCTCTTGTATCCCAAATTTGTGGCAAAGTTCTGATATTTTTTTAAAAAGCAAACACTTATTTAGTCCCTTTTACTTTTCCACTTGGAGGCAGTACACAACCACAATTGCATCACAAATTTCGTAAAGTAATCAAATGTTTTGTGACGTTATGATAATGCTGCTTTGAGGTCTTTCTATCTGCCTTCACAGTATTGGAGTGACATTTGAGAGAAATACGTTGTGTTCTTGGGGGCTGCTCTTGCTTCTCATACACGGTGCTAATCTAGGCCAGCAAAGACATTTTTATTCAGACAATAAGAGTTATGAAGTTAATTTACATTTGGTAAAAATTTTTATTTCTTACTTATCCATGGGAGGATAAGTAGAGGTTTATTTTTTTGTTAATGCAGGTAGTCCTCAACTTATGACCACAATTGAGCCCAATTGAGCCCCTCACTGAACAAGTGAGTTAAATAAGTTTTGCCCTATTTTTACAACCTTTCTTGCCACAGTTGTTAAGTGAATTGTTGCAAAGTTGTTAAGTTAGTAACATGCTTGTTAAATGAATATGGCTTCCCCACTGACATTCCTTGTCAGAAAGTCATAAAAGGTGATCACATAATCCTGGGATACTGTAGCTATCATAAACATATGCCTGTTGCCAAGCACCTGGGTTTTGGTCACGTGACCATGGTGATGCTTCAGTTGTCATAAATCACTTTTTCCAGCACTGTTTGTCAACACTCAACTAAACCTGACACCGTTGTAATTTCAAATGGTCACTAAATGATTTGTTATAAGTCAAAGACTACCTGTATTTTATTTTTATCTTTTAATACATTTTGTGGATGAAATGATAGGATTTATTTTTAATATATATATATGAAAAAAAAGAATATTCCCCTTGTCCAACAAGTCAAGACTGATTCAAATTGCCCCCCACTGTTCATAATCATTTCCTGCTTACTATAATATACTAGCACCTACTGCTCTAGCATCTCTGAACAATATGAGGATTATAATTCAGATTTTCCTATTCCTGTTCAGAAAAAAAGTTCTGCTGAATGAAAAAGTTATTTTCTCAGATCAGAAGATGACAAATCAATCCCTGATCATTGCTAGTGTTTTAACAAATCTTCTTTGCCAGTCAACATGTACACGTGAACTCGTCCTTACCTGCATGGACTGTCCTTGGAGGCGAAGCCTCTCTTTGCATATCCCCTCATAAAAATCGTAATATTCCATGAAGGACTTCTCCATAACTCCTCTAGTAGAAAAGAAACAATGAAGTATGAGACCTACCAGCAATAAAACCATTTTTCCCATCAAAGAGTTAATGCCCAGTTATGAAAACTATTCTTTTCAAACCCACACACAAACCTAACAGTTTGTAAACTGGACATACCCTCAACAAGGGTATTCCCATCATGTATAATATTCCTAAGTCCAGCGATGTAAGGGCAGATCATCCTTTCATTTATGTTTATTACATATAACTAAATGTCTATATGGATCACACTATTTTCTTCTCTAAGAACAATAAGAATTTTTTTCACTATGCAAAGGTCATTTCTTTCAAAAATATTAAAAATATCTATATAGCTGTGTTTGTATAAGTAAAAAGGCAGCAATCTTATCATTCAAAGCAAGTGTGCTATTACATGCTAGTTTATTACTCCAAAGTTGGCTTGAAGAAAACATCCATAAATGTTACATCCTTCCAATACTGCTTATTTACTATATGAAAATCTTAAAAAATTATTTTTGTTTGTTTAGAGAACAAATTTAGCTGATTTAGATATGTCAAGAGCTAAATTTGAAGAACCACAAGTAATAAAATAGGAATGAATACATTGCCAGCTTAATTTGTGCTTTTATTTTGTTTTGACAAAATATGTTAACTTCATAATCTCACAAAAAGTCTATTACTTTAAATTAGCCTAACACTAGAGAAGCACTTTGCGTTTTCTCATCAACTGTATTAGTTGCATTAATTAACTCATTTTCAGGTGAGTCTCTGAAAACAACTTGCACCAACATTTCTGGAACTATTGAGCTCCTTTGCAACACTCAGAATTCCCAGCCAGCATGGCTATTGTAAATAAATCTGGAGAACGAAAACACTGATATATTGGCAATGCTTTCATCAGTGAAGGATCACAAATATATTTCACATATACATTCATTAATATATAAATCAATCAAACATTCTATAAATTGTTCTAATTTTGGAGGGATGGAAACACAATGAAGATGATAAATTGAAGCTGCTGGTGCAGTCATTAGGAAACCAAAATTGAACTTGATGATATTAGTACGTTTCTATTAAAAGGTTGGAATGTGGAAGAGGGAGTGAACTAAAGGCCTAAGATTGTGAAGAAGAAATCTGAACAGGGTCCTTCTAATTATCAGAACTTTTAAACTCATTAAAGGGGGGGGGGGGGACAACAGCATGTGAAGGGATTTCTTTGGTCCCTACCAATTTTTTTGGCTGGATCCATTTTGACCAAAAGAAAAGAAGAAAAGTACTGCTGTATCTAAACACTGCAATCTCATTACTTACCTAAACCAGGTTTCCTCAATCTGGTACACACTAAACATGTTGAATTAGAACAGCCATCACCCTTAGCCAACGTTCAACATAACTGGTAGATACAAGGCTTGGGAAGCCATATTATAAAACTGCAAAGTTTTTCTAGACTGGCATGGAGAATCTCCCAGAATATTAATTATGTGGCTATAAAAGCAGTGGAGATTGAACACTCAAAGGGTGAAGATTATATTGCCATTTTCCCTAGAAATGAGCTAAGCCTCGTTCAGAAATATATTTTCTGAGTTTTTAAATGGAAAGTGAACCTGAAAGTTAAATCATGATGTCTCTGCAAACATACCGTAAAGGTTCTGGACAAGGGCATTTCCCTTCCAGCATGTCACATACAGCAATGCGAATAGTTTCATGTCGAATGCACTCATTGTAATTTTTACTGTCTCCTGGATGCCTTTCCTACAAAACAACAACTGCTGAGAACCTCTTCACTTATGATATACAAACAAACAGAAAAAAGAATTATTCACAATATACCCCATCACCAATATTAATCCCACTATCATGAAAATAAATAATTCAGCAAAAAGCAAAATAAAAATTGGATACAAAAAAATATGTCAATATATATTTACAATCATTATAAAGTAGTATATAATCTTTCATTTGTTGTTATTCGCTAAGTCATGTCCGATTCTTTGCAACCCATGGGCCATAGCATGCCAGCCACCCCGCCATCCTGTCTCCACTGTCTCACAGAGTTTGCCCAAATTCATGTTCATTGCACCAATACTACCTAACCATCTCATCCTCTGCCATCTCCTTTTCATTTTGCCTTCAGCCTTTCCCCAACATCAGGGTCTTTGTTCTGACCCAGTCTTAGCAGAACCAAGAAACAGACTGCTTGTCCCGATAAGCCCCTCTTTATTTAGTTACTGTGAATTCATGGCATTCACACATAGAAAAGTCCCAGCAATAATCCTCACAAGGGTTAATTGCAAGAACAGACCTTAACAATCATTGGATAGTTGCCAGACTGAGAGCGTCCAGTCCCAAAGCTGTAAATTAAATACCTGGCAAGGAGTCTCTGTGAGGCACGAACTCTGATAAGCAAATCTTCCAAAAGAAATATGAATCAATTGTCTCCTGCAACCACCACTCCCCTTTTGCTTCTATTTATTCCCCAGGGAATGGCCACTCAGCATCCACATATGCCTTTTCTTCCGAGTTGGCCCGTTTCTTAATTTTTCTCCTCTCCTGACAGTTCTGCATTTTAGGAATTGATAGTCACCTAACAGTTGGGTTGGAAATATATAAACTAGGATAGACATTTAATACTGTCTCTTTAAGGGAATGCTAAAACTGTAAGTGGGTGTGGTTCCTCAAATGACCATAAGATGGAGGCAGAAACCTGGGTTGTTCTGTTCTGTTGTTGGTAGTTGCTAGTTGCTAGATGTTCTGTTGTTCACTGTTTTTGGTTTCTGCATTTTCCCTATTGACTATTACTGATCATCGTTCTCCTTGGATTGCTGTAAATCTGTTACTGAACTGTGTATGATACTAGACTTTGTTATTTGGATTATTCCTGGGCTGAAAACTGACTGCTTTAATCATGAATGACTTGGACCGTTTGTTGGACTTTGCTTAACCGTTTACTGAAAGTAAAACCTACATTTTACCATTCAGTGTATCTGTGTGCTGGTCGTGTGTTATTCAACATCACTCTCACTACATCTCCCAGTGTGCACTCATTCTCCTAACGGGGAATTACCTCAACACTGCGCATACGTGCATCTGGAACATGCTCCAGCTGTTCTTCCCCACTTATCTCCGACTCCGTAGGCAGCTGGGAAATGTCGGATGGCCCTGGCCCTATCTCTGCTTCAGATGCAGAGCATCCATCAGAGCCTTCCCCAGACTCCAGGACTGGCCCAATTTCCTCCCCAACCTCCTCACTGTCCAAGTCTGCCGCCAACTACGCTGGCAGCTGGCAGGCCACAACAATCTTTTCCAATGTTTCTTATTTTCTCATTAGGTGGCCAAAGTATTTGAGATGTTTAATATTATTATATGAAATTATATTATAGCTAGTCCTTGAGTTACAAATGTAATGGAGCCCGCCCATTCCATTTGTAACCAAGGATTCATAGAATTACGTAAATTGAATACAATCACTCCCTCCTTTCACCCATGCATTCGCTAATCAAATGTATAGCTTGTTAAATGCACATTAGATATCTCAGGTTGGGAACATTATGGGGGCTTAGCGATGAAACTGGCAACTACTGCAGACCACCCAAGGCCTCCCCAACACACTGAGATACCTCATTTTCCCTCCCCTGGGGTTTCCACAATTGCTGTCCCCCATCCTGCCATGCTGATCACTTACCTTGTGAAGATCTGTTTCCTCTCCAGCCCATTTCTTTGCCCACTCCTGGCAGAGCAGAGGGAGAGTAGGTCAAGCACGCCCTGCTCAACTTCTCTGACTCACCGAAGCTGCCTGCCACTTTTGGAGTGGTAGGCAGCCTCGATGACTCTCCTCCAAAGCTTTCAAGCTTTGTGCTGGTATGCAAAAACTTTCGTGCACTGACTGGAAGCTAATCTTGCGAGACTTCAGGCACACATTCTCTGCAAAAGCGAATGGGTGCCTGAGGTTGCAAGAGATCATGGGCCCCAGAAGCTTTCAGCCTCTTGCAGAAAAGTTTATGTGCCTTTGGGGCGCCACTTTAAAGAACTCCATCAGGCTTGAGGGGGCCTTTGCCAAAGAGAACAGAACCCCTGGAGCGAGCCACCTCGTTCTGGCACTCCGTTTTTGCCAGGAAAGGCCTTTCCTCGAGGCCTCTGCTGAACAGAACCAAGCTCCCAGAGTGAGTATGCATTGCTCTGGAGCTCTACTTTTGCCAGGAAAGGCCTTTCCTCAAGGCCTCTGCCGAAGAGAACAGAGCTCTGAAGCAATGTGCTCTCCCTCCAGGGGCTCCATTCTCTTCGGCAGAGACCTTGATAAAAGGCCTTTTTCTCAAAACGAAGCTTCAGAGACACATGTGTCCCTCCCAGCCTCAATTCTTGGCAGCAAAGGCTTTTTTGCAAAGATGGAAAAGGATTTGCCAATGGAGGGAATGCTTCAAGGTTTCAGTGCTTCCCTCCAATAGGAAAGCCTTTTGCTGCAGATCTCATCCAGGTCCCCGTTTGCAGAGAACAGAGGCCTAAAGTATCATGAGATCGTGAGAGATCAGTAGCATGAGATCTTGTGCCACTGATCTTGCGTAATCTTGTGGTACTTTAGGCCTCCATTCTCTGCATACTCACCAAAGGCCTGAAGTGCCGAAACAGGCCAGAAAGTGAAAGCTCTCTGGAGCTTTACAAGGTGAGTATCCACAGGCCTATGAAGAGCCGGCACAAGGGGTGGGGGGAATGTTGCAGAGGTCATTCATAAAGGTGAACAACTGCGGTGGTGCTGCAACATTCGTAGTTTCAGGACTTATTCATAAAAACGGGGGGGCAAGCGCTTATCATGTAACTTCAAGCGTTCTCTAAAGGAACGTTCATAACCCGGGGATTATCTGTATATGAAAGATTTTGAAGCTGAAAGAAAATGGCACTCAGTGCTAACTCCAATCCAGCTGCAATTCCATTGATAAGGATCCATGGGAACAATCCTTACTTTTAAAAAAGTTCCTTGTCCTTTAGTATCCTATGAAGGCTCTTTAAGAACTCTTTAATAATTCTTTATATGTCTCATAACATAATAGGTTTTAACTATAATTAGGAAGCAGATACAAAATTGAAAGTCCCATTATCTCTGGAACTGGAATCTGTATTTAAAAGAATATCTAGGTGCCCGATATATCTTGCTATTTGCCAGATTTCTTAGTATTTTGTGTTTGTATTCCTGTATTTTTTATGTTTGAAAATATTGAGAAGTAGAAAAAAGAATGCAGGAAATATTTTCCCCAATGCATTTCTATCATATAATAGTCCAATACTGAATTGCAACATTGATGATTCCTCAATTCTACAACCCCCTCTCCATTCTCCTTTTTGGTCATGTAATCGAGAGAGAAGCTATTATAAAAAAATGGAGGAAAAAGTCTAGAAGTCATGTTCTGCAAGCTTTCTCTAGCTTCTTTAAACCTACATGTTACACCAGTCTTTTCAATTACCCAATGAAAAAATGTCCCATTAGTCATATAATTCAAAATCGGGGTTCCTTACCTGTTCAAAGCCAGGTTCGTTGTGATAGGGATTCTCGGTCATTAAAGATTGTATAGATATAAGTACCGAAGAAATGCTTTGTGCGGGACTCCAGGCTGGACCAGTCCATGTGCTGTGAGATAGCAAAAAAACAATAAGCTTATTTCCACAGGTGCAAATACAAAATAATTTCTTAATGGACACATAGGGACTTCAATGTATTTTGATGTAGCTTATCACATTTATGAACCCAGCTAAATAAAAAAGATATTACATAGTAGGGGGAAATAGCTCCTGGGATTCAAGGGCAAAAAAGGTACTTCAAAACTTTCAGGGACACATAGATAATACCTGTCCCCCAAGTCTTTAAGCAGTTGTGCCTTTTACTGGGATCATATGGCCACTGCAAAAGACACCTAATATATGCAGGGAAATGATGTTACTTCATTATAAAGAGTTTCAGATAAATGCCATGTCAATGCTCCAAGAGGCTCAAGTACCTTTTTCTGCTTGAATTGAAAGCACTGTATCTAGTCAACAAAATGGTAAATCAAATTGAAGATTGTCAAGACTTAGAAACAAAGAACCCGAGCCGGCTGGTTTCGGGGCTAAGCCACCCCGTAGAGGTGATGAAGAGGGGGGAGACTGCCAGCAAGGTCGAGGAGAGCCGCATCTCTCCTTCTCAGCTGGCCATTACTCCCTTTCCCGAAGGCGGTAAGAGCGGTGGTCAGAAATGGTCACCTCAAAGAAGAACTCAACCGGAAAAGAATGTGCAGGAGGAAGATAAGAAGTGAAAGTTTTGGCTGACCGGGCTAAGTTGAAAAAGCAATAACTAAGGTATCCTGGAATTTAAATTTTACAAGAAATAACATCGCTCCCAAAGAAGAGTCGGAAGCTGCGAAAGAAAGTGAAAAGGGAAAGGTTTGGCTTTTTTCTTCTTCTCTCTCCTTACAATTAAGAATAAGAAATTGGAAAAATCCGCTTTGGCATCAATAGGCAATTAAGCTGAACATATAACTAAATGCCAAAGGGACAATAAAGATTTCTGGAAATCAAAAACTTTTTCTTCTATAAGCAGGAAGGGAGAGAAAAAGAATAAGGGCAGGATCTGGAAGAGGGAGGAGACTGCCTGGACTTTAAAAGAATCTAAAGTAAAATTTCAATAAGACTTCTAAAAGATACATTTTAACTGAAACTTTGCAGCTAAATAGTAACCCCAGGAAGAGAAAGTGGGGGGGGGGGGGGAAAGAAAGAGCAAAAAGAAACAGCTTGCATGTATTTGGATTACTTGGTGACTTTTGGATTTTTGGTTATTATATTTGAATGACTAAAATCAATCGGGTGGTTGTTTAAAAATTTCTACAATGGCATTACTTTTGGATGAATTGAAAATGGAACTTAAAAAGTACAAAGAAGATGCACAAGAAGGGAAGGGTTCTTTTGGCTTCGTTTTTCAATTCTTAGAAATGGAGATTTGGAACTATGAGAAACAACAAGAAAAGACTGCAAAACAAGAAGACTGGGACAAAGAAGAAGCCATCTTTAATGAACAAGTAACTCTATGTGGGGAAGAAAAAGGAAAGGGGGGGGAAGAGGATGGAGAATTTAAGACTTAAAATAACAACCAAAGAAAAGAAAAATAATTCAAAAAATAAGTATAATACTGGAAAGCAACAGAAAAGGGGAATACAGAAGAGGGAGATAGAGGTAGAGAGACAAAGGGGTAAAAAGGGGAGAAGAAGAAGAAGAGAGGGAAGAAGGAAAGGAAAAGAAGTTACAAAGGTCCGGAGCAAGATATAAAGAAACAGGACCTATTTAGAGATAATGGGTGAAAATCTAACTCAAAGGGGGATTCTGTAAAGGTACATGAGATTGTGTTGTTATATTTGTAATAGAAATAACTTTAGAAAGTTGGAAACAACATATGATTAGAATGAGGGATAGAATGGTTAGTGTAACTTAGTGAAATGTTTGTGAATAAAGTAAATGAAATAAAATAAATGAGAAAATTGAATTAGGAAGGAATGGGAACACTTTAATTAGTCAATGTTTTATAAAAAATAAGTGAAGAGGGGGGGAATTGACTATGGAAAGTTTATAATTGTTCCCATAGAAGTATGATATTTAATTGAAAAGTAACGTGAAAAATGTTAAGACTTTAATGAATATTAATATTAATGATAGAATTGAATTGGAATGGAATGTTGTTTTAATTATATACATTTATAAAAAAAATTCTTTTTCTTTTTAAGAATACTGTGTGCAGTTTAAGAATGTACCAAGCAGAATCCGAATGGAAATTATGTATTATACTGAGTGTTATAACTTTAGGGGAAAGATATAAAGGCGTCATACTCCAATCAGTAACTACAGGAGAAATTTTGTTTAATGAGAAAAGATAATAGACAATTGAAACAGGACAGACAAAAAATATAAATATAATGATTTGAATTGATATGAAATAAATAAAATAAAATTGAGGAAATTAAAAGAGGGGAGAAGCCATGTAGAAAATGTAAAATAGTAATAAGAAATGGAATAGAATATAAAAATGAGCATGAACCTGAATTTGTGTCTGTACGAAGAAATGTAACCCGGGATTATGCTGCTTTCAAAAAAGATGTTTTAATTGTATTTCTTTTCTTTTTGTGAAAACTCAAATAAAATTTACAAATAATAATAATAATAATAATAATAATAATAATAATAATAATAATAATAATAATAATGTATAGCCTTAACAGCTGTTGAAAACTTACTTATAGGCAGTAATCAATGTAGTAACCTGAGATAAGATAGTCTTAATCAGAAAATATTCTCTTTAGGAAGATTGTTGGCTATAAGTAAGTCGTCCAAAGTCAGCAACAGATAAGTTTAGACCTTAATGTGTTGTATGCCTTCTCTTCTCTGACTTTTCTGAGCTGTTTGGAAAGAATACATTACCATAGATCTGAACTAATTGCCAAAGTGTTCTGTAATTAGGCCTAAGGCCATATTCATAGTATCTTAGGGCTCAGATGTTTTCTAACTCAGCCCCTTGCTCAAGGCAGGACCCTTATACCACCCTGGTCAAATGGTTGTCCAGTCTATTCTTGAAAACCTCCAGTCATGGAACACCCACAACACCAGGGGGCAAGCTATTCCACTGATTAATTCCTCTTAATGTCAAAAAAAATTCTCCTTACTTCTAGGTTGGCGCTCTCTTTGACAGTTTCTATCCATTATTTCTTGTTTTACTCTCTGGTACCCTAGGCCAATCCTCTTTGTGACAGTCCTGCAAGACAACTATCATGCCCCCACCCCACCAATCCTTCTCTTCAATAGGCTAGCCATACCTAGCTCCCTCAACCTTTTGTCATACAATTGTACCTTCCAGATGCTTTATCATTGTTGCTCTTCTCTGCAAACTTTTCAGGATCTTAACATCTTTTTTGTATTTTGGTGCCAGTACTAGATGCATATTCCAAGTGTGGTCTACAGAATCCAATCCAGATCAGTCACCCAAATCAGAGCTTTAGTCTTCTGAGCTTTCGGACTTGTGCTGTAGCCCATCCTCAGGGAATGTCCAACAGAGAGAAGTTCCCTGAGGAGGGGTTCCAACAGGAGTCAAAGGCTTGGAAGACCCAGTTCAGATCCTGCAACATTACCCTGAGACATGTATATTTGCCTTCATTCACAAGTGTGGTCTCACAAGCACAGTGTAAAGTGATATCGCTTTTCATTGTCTTGGTGCTGTTGATGCAGCCTAGGGCTCCATTGGCTTTTTCAGCAGCTGTAGCACATTGCTGACTTATATTTAAATATTGATGTACTAGGACTCTTCTCTCCCATTGTTACTACTGTTAAGCCAGGTACCATTTTACTATATCTATGCATTTGGGTTTTCCTGCCTATCTTACTTTTCTCACCACAGAATTGCATCTTGCTGGTATAGATCTAATGTTCAAGTCTGCAAAGATCCTTCTGAATCTTGAACCTATCTTCTAAAGTATTGGCTATTCCCCCCAGCTTGGTGCTGTCTGCAAACAAGTTCCTCTTCTATCTCCTCTTCTAGATAATTTATGAAGATATTTAAGAGTCCTGGATCCAAGACCGAACCTTGAAGTACCCTACTGCATGCTTCCCTCCATGTAAATGTAGTTCCATTGAAGATTACCTACTAAGTGTGGTTGTCCAACCAATTGCAAATCCATCTGATGGTGATACTGTCTATCCCCTATCTTATCAAGAAGTAGGTTGTGATCTAGTTTGTTAAATGCCTTGCTGAAATGTACTATGCCCACAGCACATGGCTGATCCACTGATCAATTTAGTTACTTTATCAAAAAAGGCATACTGGCTTCTACTAATCACCTTGTTTGTTTCTAGGTATTTACAAATCCTATGCCTAATTATCTTTCATAGGATTTTCCCAGGTATTGATGTCAAGCTGATTGGCCTATAATTTCCTGGATCCATTCCTTTCCTTTTTGTGTGTGTGTAAATTGGAAATATAGCAGCTCTTTTCCAGTCCTCTGGTATTTCCCCTATGTAACATGATCTTTGAAAGACTATACTGCAGGGCTGTCAAACTCCCAGTCTGTGGGCTGGATGCATCGTTCACTGGCCACCCCACACCTGGTTTAGCAAAGGGGGGGAAAGTCCAGATACGTCACGTGATGCCACCACGACAACGTGAGTTTGACACCCCTGCTATACTGTATTGTGATTTCGAAATTACATCTTCCAGCTCTTTCAAAATCCTGAGATGTGAAGCTATCAAATCTAGGATTGCTGGTTATCAACTCAGTGTAGAGATTAGACTGGATATGCAGTCTCACAAAAGTACCATAATGTATGCTAATGTTCTGAGCAGGCATAGAATTTAATATTTTAATAATTGTCAGCTAGAAAGCTTTTGTTTTTATGATACAATAGTACAAAAGCTTGGTCTGCCACTATAGAAAATACCTAATGATTAGCACATACATACTTATCTAGGGTTTCGAATCATTACACCATCTCCAAGAACAGTCTGAGTCCCCATCTTCCCTAAAATTATCCTTAGCAGAAGTTCAACTATCTAAAGTTATGATTAAATCTCTGATAAGATGTGCTGCCAAACCATCCCAAGGTGTTATTGTTTATATCTTTTGTCTCTTAAGTATAAAAAAGTACCAAAAGTCCCTAGACAGGGTGGGATATGGAGAGTTCTTGCTGGAAATTATTTTTGGCAACAACCTACTATCAACAACCTACTATCATTTTAGATGAAAAGTAACAGTATAGAGGATTTCTTAAAGGGGAACATGGAGGATCAGATGACAGTCCCAGATAGGCAGCAGTTTAAAGATAGCCAATGCAACCATACTTCTAGGATAGCAGTCCATAATCCCACAATGTGGGGTAGATATGCTTTATATCTTGATCCACCTGGATACTACAGCCCAGTTGGAGTGCTGAACTCCATTTTTTCACCTGAATTTGACCAAAATTCAAATAAAGACTAAATTCACCACGATTATAAAAGTTGGCTCCAAGCACAGAATATCTGTCTTGTAGGAAGTGTAGAGCTTCCTGAGCGAGATATCAATTTTTGACATTCCTTTGGCTGAATTTACAGCTCTTGGGAATACTGCATTCCACACTTAAGATGTTTTATGGCACAAGGACTGATCTGGGCTCCAATTGGATTTGGAGTCCTAAGAAGAGATTTGTGAATAGATACATTCAATATCAAAGAACAAAACAGTTAACCAAATAAAAAGTTCACAAATGTACCTATGCTTGTGGGTTAATAAACACTACAGAAAGCAATTACAGGTAGTCCTCATTTAGCAACAGTTCAAAGTTATAATGGTGCTGAATGGGGAGACTTATGATCTGACGTGGCTGTCATGCAATCACAATTCTGGAGGCTGGCAACCAGCTAACAATATTGATATCACAGTATCCTTCAGTCACATGATTGCCATCTGCCATCTTTACTGCCTGTTTCTCACAAGTAAAGGCAATGAAAGCCAGCAGGAGGTCACAAATGGAGATCATGTGACATCATGCAGAACGATCATGTGGCATTTGCCTGAAACAGCAAATGGAATGCCCTTGGGAATGTGGTCATGTGATATCACACTTTATGGCCAGTCCCAATTACAGTGGTTGGTCAAGTGCTGCCTATGGTTAGCTTTGGAACATTCACACAAAGTTTCTCCAGATATATCTTGTTTGTTTTAAACTGATACAAATATAGTATTGATAGAAGGGGCCACAAACTTAATGGTTATAACAGGAACCACTTTTGATTCCTTTGTTTAATTATTTTCTATTTAATTAGTTTATCTTTCTTTTTCTTTAAAAAAGGAAAGAATCATAACTAAAGCACCAAAGAAGCCTTCTCCTCTACTGGATCCACACAAGGTCAAGTACTAGAAACAAGCAGATGGCATACAGGAGTATGGAGCAATCTTTTGAAGTAATTTCTTTATGGTTTAAAACAGTATACATGTATTTTTTGAATGTGTGCATTTTCTTTTTTTCTATATGTATATAACTAAATGTATATATACATTCCAACAAACATACAGAAGTTTAACAGTATTCATTGCTAGATTGTAAAAAAAAAAAACACAGCCTAGAACAGAGGTCACCAACCGGTGGTCTGCAGACCACTGGTAGTCCATGAGAAAATTCTAGTGGTCCACAGCGCACCCTGGTGGAGGAGCTGCTCTGGGATGACCAATGGGCCAGTCCTGTGACTAGAGCTCTGGAATATGATACTGTCCAGACAGCTCATGGTGGGGCTGGAAATCTCTGCTGTAGAGGGAGGTACGTGCAACTTGCAACTTTGCAAGTGGTGCAACGTGCAAGGAGTAGCACAGCCCTCATCAACCAGAACGAGGTAATGGTGCTGTTGCAGCAAGGGGGGGTGGCGCAGGCGGGCCAAAGCAACAGGTGTTGGCAACCTGCGGCTCTTTTGTCCCCCTGCTGTGGTTTCCTGTTGGCTGAACCCACCAGTGGTTGGTCCCACCCCTCATCCTCCCCTCCCAGTCACTCCTCGCCTGGCCTGAGAAAGGAAGGGAAGGGGATGGAGACTCACTCCAGATTCCAGAGTGGGAGCAAAGCTTCATCTTTTGCTGGGTCTTGCAGGCATTTCTTCTTCATGCGTGCATTGCTCGGGGAAATGTGTGACTTCCTCTCAGCCTCGAGACACTGACCCGACCCAGCTGTTTATCTCCACCATTGCTGTTGGCAGCTCCATGGCCTGCCCACTGATCTTGCAGCAGAATTAAATTTAGCACACTCCACAATGGGCGAGACAGTGTTCCCTCCTCCTCCTAAAGCCCATTACAATTCAGAGCATCAGTTGCAGCTGAGTTGGGCAAGTGTCTTGTGGCGGAGAGCAGGTCGTGTGTCCCCTCCAAGCGACTGAGGTGCATCCAGCACAAATAACAGCTGAACCACCCACGAGACTCAGAAAGCACTGGAGAATCAGAATGAGAGAGAGATGAGAGATACAGAGAGAGAGAGACAAAGAGAGGGGAGAGAGAAATGAGAGATTAGAGAGAGAGAGAGATGAACAAAAGAGATACAGGGAAAGAGATATGAGAGAGAGAGAGAGCTGAGAGAGGGGGGGGAGAGGGGGGAAAGATGAGACAGATACCGTTTTTTTGTTTTCTGTGGGAAACGGGTCCAAATGGTTCTTTGAGTGTTTAAGATTGCAGAAACAGGCGGCCAAGCTAACAGCCTGAAGGACCCCACTCCATCACTGGGAGTCCAGGCGCTTCAGTGAGCGGAGCACTAGATTCATTATTAGTGGTCCGTGGGATTTAAAATTATGAATTTAGTGATCCCTGAGGTCCGAAAGGTTGGTGACCTCTGCCCTAGAATGTTAAAAGAAGCACCACTGACCCCGTGTCTCTGGCATAACACCGGGGGTGCATAAAGCTGACCAAAGGGTATAGTAAAAAGTATGCATATTTAATTGCCCCAAGTTTGCCTCTTTATTAAAAGATGAGAAACAGCAGCTTGTGGCCAGAGGTAGCTTGCAGTTATGTGGTTGATTTTGCCCAACTGTGCTGTAATTTTCATGCTTTCTCTCTTCCCTATTCTTTTGAAAAACACACATTCGCATAAGGTCCTTGAGAAAAAGAACGGCTCAAAACCCTTTCCAAAGCACGCACCTGGGCATCCCCTGGAAAAGAGCTTTAGCTGAATGTGTCCTTACCCTAGAATACTGAGGCAGACCTTCCCATTTCGGTAGAAGTTAGGGTTAAACCTCACTGTATTATTCCCAGTTGTCATCAGTTTGACCCGCGGCGGATGGATAGGATAATCTGGAGGACAGCGAAACAGGAACAAGAAGAAACCCCCTTCGTAAGGCGTGTCAAAGGGGCCTGTGATCAACGCATGAATCTGCAAGAGAAAAGCCCAGGCTTGCGCAAACACTTCTGATGGAAGCATCAGTGGCAGCACCTGCCCAGTGCCAACAGCTGCTGACAGAAGTCAGGAGAAGCAGAGAAGGTTCTCTGCAAGCAGTCAGGAAAAAAAAAAAAAAACTCAAAACACTTCGTTAAATGGTACAAGTCTCATTACTTTACATTTCATTAGCTACTTATTTAGTTGAAGCAGTGAAAAATATTACTGCTTTGCAATGTGGTGGAGAATTCCACAATAGCTTCTCTAGCTTCTTCTATTTTTCTTAGAGTTAATCCTTAACTTACAACTATTTGCTTAGCAACTGTTCAAACTTACAACAGAACTGAAGAAAGAGACTTATGACCCACGCCAGAAGTTACGGCAGTTGCAGCACCCTCACAGTCATTATTAAAATTGGGGTACTTTGCAGCCCACATGCACTTACGACCACAAGAGCACTGCAACTTCCCCACTTGCCCAGCTCCCCTGTCTATACCGTTTTGGCCCCCTGCTGACCCCAGCTGACCTTCACCCTCTTCTTGCTCTCGCTTTTAAGACATGGCTAGCTTGGCTGCTGGACCAGAGTGGAGCTGGCTTCATGCTGCAAAAAAAGAAGGGAAAGGCTCTTTTTTGCAGCCAGCCCCAGCTCAGCCCAGCCAGCAGAAGGAACAAGAAGGCAGTGTGCACAGGGTACAGGGTAGCAGCACTCTCAGAGTTCACGATGACAGGGGCAACTGAGAGTGGGCTGGGGTGGCTGTCAAAGCATGGCAGGCGGTTCCAAAGCCATGCGGTCCTGAGGTTGATTGCCACCATGAAAAATAGGGTGTAAGGAGGCCAAAAGGACAGAAATGGGGGAGGGGGGGGGGAAATAGGTAGGTATAATGAGTAGAGACTTTTCCTTACCTTACTCAGAAGTGGGAGGAACCAAGCCTAAAATGGATTGGAATGGATCCTCTGCTAACAACGGTAAAATTTGCTTAATGATGGCAAAAGGAATTACTAGGATTACGGTTGCTAAGTCACATGACATTTCACCTTACAACTGTATTGCTCAGAATTCCCAGTTCTGGTCCTAAGTGCAGGACTATCTATAATTAAATTAAACCAATAGTTTTGATCTTTAAATCCCTAAATGGATTGGGAACATGTGAAGTATTCCCCTCTTCAATGTGAATCTGTCTAACTTTTGAGATCAGTCAAGTGACTCTTGTAGATTCCTAATAGTTGGCAAGCTCAAGACATGTTTGTCAATTCTGCATCTACTGCACATCTACAGAATTCCCACTGAAATTAGACAAATTTTATTCTAGCTTTGCTTTTACGTGCAATTTTAAAACTTTTTTTTTTTACTTCACCTGTTTTATTTACTGCATGACTTTTAATGTGGTTCCACTCTATCTTCACCAGTTATATGGCTTTCATTTTGGATCCCATCTTCTCCCTCAAACACCGATCAGCTACAGCTATCCTACATACTCTAAATTTTGCTTGGAAATAATATCATCAAATAAGATGGTCATTGCAAAGCTTTAGCTTCTGGTTGCATTAGGGCCATTCTGAGGAACGCTGCCTCACTAGGTTGCTTACAAGAATTCCACTGAGGTCTGGTTTTGAAATGTGTAAGGGTCATTTCCATCTGGGCTAGTTAACCCAGCAAGAGTTTACCAGGAAAAAGCAATGTTTTAATTTTTATCAATTGCGCTGGAAACTTTTCTGAATGAAAAATGGGACAATATATTTTTAAAGTAAATAAACATTTAAATTCCAAATTTGTTTGAAAATTCAAATGCTTAGTAAAATGTTACAAATTAATATGGAGGTTTCTCAATGAGAATTTCAATTTCCAAGAGATCCTTAGGAATATACTGGTATATCAACTTTGAATTGACACACTATTCGGTTGTTAGATCAATTATATTATCATACTAGCTTGATACTTGTGCTTCGCTACGAAACTATATAATCGGGCTTAGTTTTTGGGGAGAAAATAAGGGAAAAAATTCTGCCTCTGCCTACCAGCATCCATCGGTATTCATCTGGCTAGCATCCTGTCAATGTGTGAGAGTTGAGGGCTGTTTAGAAACTGAAAAGTATTTGCTGTGTGATCAAGAAGGAAACATCAAGGAGCTTGGGCGTGGCTTAGCTCAACTGTTCTGTACTAAAACTGGTTGCTGCTGTGAAGCTAAAACTGAAACTGAAACTCCTCCCCTCTGCTTGTGTTTTGCATTTGGAACAGATTTCTTTTCAAGTGTGGAGGGGGAATAGAACTCCTTAGCATCAGAGCGTGTGAATAATAATATATGAAATACTAATGCTCTGATGGTCATTTTGAAAAATCCTTTCTTAGTGAGCATCTAGAAGCCAAGAGGAACATATGTGCCAAATTTCAAGTTTGTAGGCTTTACAGTTCTGGAGATTTTGTGATGATGCGTCAGTGGTATTTTGCTTTTATATATATAAAGATCAATCTTATTATGTAAGATCAACTGATGAATTGATCATTATTTGACTCTATGTACACTAAAACTGTGTGAATGATAACTAAAAAATAATATTACTGTCAGCAAAGGGTAGATTGAAGTTGCTGTCTTACAGCGTTTGGGGAAAACCCAGAGATGGAGCATTTTTTAAAAACTAGTCATCTGTTATAACTGCAGGCATGTCAAAACAAGAATACTGTCACTAATGCTGAAACTCAGTGTCCAGTGCTTAAAACAATAGACTGTAACAACTTTTCCACTCTAATTTATAATCTTGTTAGGAAATATAGGCTCATTAAAGGTTGTTGGCTCATTAAAATTTTCCTCCTAGGGCATTTTTGAAGGGAAAAATGGGAGGGAGACTAAGTACATCAAAGAACTTTTGGAGTGAAAGGCAGAACACAATAGCAATAAATAAATGCTACTCAGATTTACCACTACCTATTTTATGTGTTTATTATTCTAAGTTAATCAAATCCACAGATTATTTTCTTTGCAGTTCTAATGGCAATGCTTAGAGTACTTGATAAAATTTAATGTCACATAGCTTAATCTGGCAGAACAGAACAGAATAGAATAGAAATAGAAAGAGCACTTGGATTTATATACCGCTTCACAGTGCTTTACACCTTCCTCTAAGCAGTTTACAGAGTCAGAATATTGCCCCCCAACATTCTGGGTCCTCATTTTACTGACCTCAGAAGGACGTAAGGCTGAGTTAACTTTGTGTCGGTCAGGACTGAACTGTTGACCTGCTGGCAATCGGCAGTGAGCAGAATTAGCCTGCACTACTGCATTCCAACCACTGCACCACTACGATGCCTAGCACAGCATAGCATAGCATAATAGAATTCTTTATTGGCCAAGCGTGATTGGACACACAAGGAATGTCTCCAGTGAATAAACTGATAATATACATATAAACAGCAAATAATAGGGCAAAGATAATAGTTATAATCATTAATCATAAGTTACAAACAACAATTGATAAATCATAAGCAACCAAAAGGAGAAGGTAATAGGAAAGATGAGGAAAAAAGATGGGAAATGAGGCAGGAATACTGTAGGAATTCAGCAGAATGGCATGGGGGAAAACTGTCTCTGTGTCTAGTTATTTTGGCATGCAATGCTCTATAGCGGCATCCTGAGGGGAGAAGTGGAAATAGATTATATCCAGAATGTGAGATATTTTCTCAGCTTTCTTTCTGGTTCGTGCAGTATACAGATCCTCAGTAGAAGGCAGGCTGATTTTGATTACTTTCTCTGCAATCCTAACTATCCGTCGAAATCTCTATTTGTCCTGTTTGGTTGCTAGGCCAAACCAGGTTATTGAGGTACAAATGACAGATTCAGTAATTCCTTTGTAGAATTCCAGTGGCAGATTCTTGGGCATATATGAAGAATATACAACTTAAGTGAGTTGTAGAATTATTATTTTTATTTTCTGTAAGGAACTCAAATGAGATCTGTAAGGAAGTCTCTGTAGTGCTTAACACATTCATAAATTTAAAAAATTGGTATCTCCATGCCTCAGCCTTTTTCTTTCATAAACACACAATATTTTGTGACTGAAAAAATCAAGACTACAAGGCTAAGCATGTCTTCCTAAAGATCAATACCAAGGGAAAAATTGGCCCAGTTCTATTTCTATATAAACCTTTTAACAATTTCATCTCCTCCTTACCACCTATTTTCTATTCCACTTCCGTCTTCTTGACTGCAAACCTGAAAGGCAGACCTGTGCTTTATATTTTTCACAGCAATGCATAGAACATAAAAATATTAGGAATGGCAATCCAAATATATATCCTGCTTTTTTAATGCTGCTACTCCCTTTGTTTTGTCTCATTTCAACTAATTTCCCAATATAAATGCAATATGAGCTGGGCATTACTGAAAGTTTCTTAAGGTGGTATTTTAATCAATTAATCTCATTTTGCTATTTATACCAGTTTTCCCAATCATGACAGGTTCACATATTCCAAGTCATTATATTATGAAGTACTTCTTTAAAATTGTTAGAAAAACCTTTTAGTAGGACTACAGAGCACTTGAATACCACCTACCTTGGTCATATCATGCGGGTCAGGTACGACAAACATTCCAGGAGGTGGTTCCTTATAAATTGACATGATATCCCTAGGAAAGAAATATAAATATATTTCTGTATTTTGTAACCCATTAAGTTTTGTCTTAAATTACTGACAAATACTCTTACTAAAAATATATGTCCAAAATCTGCCCTAAATAGTGCTCAAAATAAATATCTTTGACCTAAATTTAAGAATCATAATTTAAATAAAGATTTTTTTCTGATTACACAGTATCTCATGTTAATCAATAAACTGTTTCTGCTTATTGCAATTTATTAGTCTTATATCACATAAGTGTAAAACACAATGAGAGAAAAGGAGATCTGCCACAAGAAGGGGGGATATAACATGAAACAACTTATCATAGCCCATGCTTTTTCATAAGGAACTGTTTCTTCATCCCTCAATCTGTCAGCATACATTTATCAACAAAAGTGTCTATGTTGACAAGCTGTTTTGAAAGTTGCTACCCACCAACTTACTTCTTACTACTTTCTTTTCACTAAAGTATGAAATAAATTGAAAGTGGGGCATAGTGGCCTTACATTCCCCAAATGTACAAAATATATATCAATAGTACTTTAAAAGAATAGTTTTGCTTGAAAATAACAGCAAAATCCCTGGAGGCATTCAGTCAAACTTCTGAGAAATACTCCTGCAAGTTGAGTTTCATTTTGATGCTCTATAATTTCAATAATATAACTTTTGTTACTGTGGTTACATAAAACAACTATTTCTTAAGTATTTGTATGCCTAAATATGGAAATAACCTCAAACTGTCCTTTATAGTTGGTCTTCACTTTTTTGTTTTAAAAGAAAGGTGTACTTTAATTAAACCAGGTGCCTAGTAAACTTTGCTTAGCAGCTGTTGGAAATGAAGCACCTGCAAGAAACAACCAACCTCAGAGAGCACCAAGGACCACCCCGCACCCACCCCCGCAGCTGTTCTCGTGCTCAGAATCTCCATTGCAAGTTTCATCTAATTGCCCAGGTAAAGATTCAACTTGTGGCCTTGTTTGTGCTAAGGAATATGTTACCTATTACTTGGGCAAATAACAGAAAGGACTTCCGTTCTACTGCATTTTTTGGCATGATTTAATGAGATTAATTAAAAGAAGAGGCTATATAGGCTCAAAAAATCTTTGTTCACCTGCACCCTTTAGTTACAACTGGATACATATGTTGAGTATCTTTTAAACAGATAAATGTTTTCTATTAACCCCAGAGACGATAAGAACAATAAACATGTACAATAAAATACCAGTACACAAAAGAAGCAAACTGGAGGAATGAATGCAGATCTATTTCTACTACCAATTCAACATACGTCCTTGGGCAATAACCTCCACAACAAAATAATGCTGATTGCTTGCCTTTAAAAGCTGTTGATGCAAGACAAAATGCATACAGAAAAGACTACAAAATAATATGCAATCAAATAAAGATATAGCTTAGAATTACTGCTTAGAATTCTCCTTCCTTGGACAGCTATAAATACACAGAACATATTCTTTGAGTATACTCATTAGTAGAAATTTAACTGAAGTTGTAAATATGTTAAATACCAATTGCTTTCTGATGCAAAATAAGAAAGTCAGTTTTACAATGAAAGCAATTTTCATTCAGTGTCTTCATTAAGGTTTAAATAATGACACTGGATTTTTTGTGTTCAGAGACTCTGGGAATTGCCGGGTGACTGGAAAGCATAAGGCTTTGGTAATCACAAGCTTATCCATTTGTATTTAATAGTTTAGAGATCTGTAGTTTTACAATAAAATGCAGGAATGAAAGAGATGAAGCTGTCCCAAAGCTTCAATCTATCACCAGCAGGAATATAAAATATTTCCAAAGGACTGAACTGCTGAAGCATGAACCCCAAATGCTGGGCACTTGGGTGGGGAACGGAACTAAGCACTCTGCACATGCTCAGAAGCACCGCCCTTTCTTAACAATTCGCATTTTGCCAGATATTGGCTACATTCTTTAATGGAAAGAGGGGATTGCTAACTCCTACTTCCTAGTTTCGTTTTCCGGAGTTCCTTACCGTTTGATACGGAGCAGGCAGGCAGCGCTCGGTCTCTCTCCGTCCCAATCACCACTAGTCGTGGGGTCCCAAAAGGCCGAATGCGAAAGGAGCACTCCGGCAGCGGCGGCGGCGGCGGCGGCGGCAGGGGGAATCCCAGGCACTGGGGCTCCTGCAGAACCGACTCCAGATCCCGTTCCAGACCCTCCTCCTCCTCCTCCTCCTGCCGAACCCAACCCCGCTACCGCCCAGAGCTCTGCTGGTAGGAAGACGCCCGTGCCTCCGCCACCAGCTCCGGCTCCCGGTCCTCCGCCTGTCGGGGCCGCCAGTACCGCGGCCGAAGCTACTACCTCTTCAGCAACCGGACTCTCCGCCATCATCGCCAACAGTCCCGGCTACGCTTCCGGGACTTCCCACACCATCGACAGAGGTGGGCAGAGCGGATCACGATGCTCCGCCTACTATTGACAATGGGGACATATCAACCATTGAGGTAGAGAGTTCCAGAGCGCCCGACGTTGTTAATTCGTTCAAGTCGCAGCTGATGGAACATTGATTGCATAGAAATTCTAGAGCGTTGTCCTCACTTCCGGTTCCGAATAGTTAAGTTCTACCAGGCGTGGGTGAAAAAGTTCTTACGAAAATGATCGCAAAGGGAAAAGCTTCTGCTACCTGTGGTAGTATTGCCAAAAACAAAACCCAAGCTTCCGGGATGTTTTTCTGACAGCTGTTGGGTTTTCCTCGTGGCCATTTGTCCAAGTATTAAGCAGATCTGACCCTGCTTAACTTTATTCAGAGAAGTTCGGGTACGAAAATTGGGACAATTTTTTTTTTAAAAAAAACCCTTCTGTGTTGGCGCATCGACAAATCTCTTAATGCCTTTAAAAGGAACATAACTCGTCATCTCCTCCCAGGCAACCTTCGTTTTGATTTTATGATGCTTATTTTTGTAGAACTACCACCCGGAATTTTCAATTGTATCTTTAAAAATTAGGTGCCAGGTAGAAATTAAACTGGGTAAAGCATTTCATTGCTGAATCTTTCACTTGATTTGCAAAGCAGCGTGAGATTTTTTTTAAAGTGCACGCCATTTTAAAAAAAGATTATGAGGGGGAACCCCGAAGATGCTTTTACAGGAGGCTACAGACTTCGTTTTTTTTTTTTCCTTTGAAGACGTTTCTCTTCCCATCCAAGAAAGCCTTCTGCAAGGAATATAAATCCTTCCGTTCCCCACCATCCTGTCAGAGGTGAAGAAGCTTCTTGGATGAGAAGCAAAACGTATTCAAAGAAGAAGAAAAAAGACAGTCCCGTTGCCTCCTGAAAAACCACTTTTGGGACAGCCATGACCTGGATGACTGAAAATATCTACAGACCATTATGAGGGGAAATAAAACCATTTTGCACGACTCTGAACACACGGCACGTGGCAAAGCGGAATCTCCCACATGACCATTCTTATTATTCGATGTCACCTTCAATTTCCACTCTCTTGATCTGCACATGGAGGGCTCTTGCATCGGGAACCAAATTTCAAGGGGGGGGGGGGGGAACAACCTTGCAGCTCTGTATCCCTTTCTGCATCTATGCTAGATTATCGACCCGAAATACCTACAAGATTATACCTTTTTTTTTCTTTCTCGGAACAGGCATTCAAAACCTAACACAATATCTTTTCAAAGAAACTCCTTATCAATAGTTAATCCTACGAAACTCAGGTAATTTTTTCAAAAATTCCCATTTACGGGTGTAGACACCACCCTTCCGCTTCTTGCGTAGTTTGCTCAGACGCGAACAAGCATAAGCTCCGCCTTCGCCCCTTTCTGGAGGTAGATTCCGTTCTCAAGATTACCTGTGAAGTAGTCTCCGTGCCAGCTAAGGGTTATCTGCAGTACCATCGCTTTTATGCTCTTAATTCTGGCGTCCGCGAAAACTTTTAAGTCCGTTTTAGAAAGGCATTATTGCTCAGTTAATTGGCCTCCATTGCTCATAGCAAGATACTTTTAGAAAACTCGAGGTCAGTCCCAAAATCTAATCAAAACAAGATTGCTGAAAACACAAAGGAAACAAATGTATCACACACATTTATTTATTTATTATTTATTATGTATGTATTTATTTTTTATTTATGATGAACTGTGCAATATTCAGAATGTTCTGCAACCCTTTGTGCTTGTGTTGGGAGATCAAGCTTTTGCCCCAGAACTAAAAAGCAAAACATCAGATGGAAAAGAAAAAAATTCAGTATGGCTTTAATTTTCATAAACTTTATTTACATTAAATGTATTGTTTGCAAGAAACAATCAACTTTGACCCTCTAGAAGCGGGTCAAAAATGGGTATCAGAAGATGGAGTCTGTGAATGCTGATTGGCAATTTCTTGATTTAAAGCAAAATTATATAGCAACATTTAGTTGCAAATCTCATTACTTACTTTTGAATACCAATATTATATAGACTCCCTTTTATTATGAGTTTTGTGGACTAAAATATATTTTGTAGATGATTGAAATATCCCAAGGTTTTCATAAACAATGAGGTAAAGAAAAAATAGGATAAAAGTACAATACATTATTTTAGTGGGACATGTTTTATTTCTGTTTTAATTATTCAAGCATAGTGGAAACTTGGAACAAAATTCCAATACAGGTAGTGAGTCAATCATCAACATGTTTGGATAAACACATGTCCATCACTTGACAAAAATTTAAAAACTAAAAATAAATACGTAAAAGTCAGACTCAATGAACCATTAGGTCATTTTCTGTCATGAGAGTTTTCTACAATTCCCTGTTTCTATATGAAGCATAAAGAATAATGAATGACAAAACTCAAAAAAAAATCTTGAATTATATTTATTAAAGTTTGTTTATATCTGTAACAGCAGGCTTAAACTGAGAGGACAGCAGAGGTTTTTTACATGGCAAACAGAATCAGGAATGCCACCATCAAACAGAAGAGCCCCATGGCTTCCGAAAGGGCAAAACCTAGGATAGCATAAGAAAACAACTGCTGCTTGAGGGATGGGTTCCTGTAGGTAGAAACAAAAGAAAAGCCTGACATAAATTACTATTGAATTCTCCAGAATAAAATATTACACAATGTTTTCCAAACCATCATGGACACTGATAAGTGTTAAACAGCATAGATCATAGGTACTTGACCATAATAAAGATTATATATCCATGGAAACTACTACTATTTTGCCAGCAGTGGATGACATATTTTAGCCTTTCTTCTGGTATCTTTATCCCTAGAGTGAATGGAAGGAGAGATTCAGGAAGCTAGAATGAAGCTGGAATTATTTTTCTCAAAAGAAAGATAATTTAAATCAGTGGTTCTCAAACTTTTTCAGTCCACCGCCCTCTTGGTGCTACAAACTCATCCTTAGTGCCGCCACCTAGGGGTGAGATTCAAATTTTTTAACAATTGGTTCTGTGAATGTGGCCTAATTTGTGGGTGTGGCTTGGTGGTCATGTGACTGGGTGATTGTGGCTTGCTAGCTGGGCATGGCTTGATGGTCACGTGACTGGGTAGATGTGGTTTGGTGGGCATGTGACTGGGTGGGCATGGCCAAATGGCCATGTGACTAGCAAACCAAATACAAGTGGTCTTTGCTTAATGGCCAGTTGCTTAGCAAGTGTTCTAATTTATGACTGACCTCCCCAGAGCTACTTGACCTGTTTTTGGAGTTATGGCAGCCATGCACACACACACACACACCCTTCTAACCTTGGTGGAGCAGGTGGTTGGACTAGATATCTTATTCATTTTCCCCTCCCTCCCTCCCTTTCTCTTTCTGTCCCTTCCTTCCATCCCCCCCTCTATCCCTTTTCTTCCTTTCTCTCTCCCTTTTTCTTTCCCTTTTCTCTTTTTCTTTCTTGTCTCTTCCTTCTCTTTCTCTCTCCCTCCATATCCCATTCACTTTCTCCTCTTTCTTTCTTTCCCTTTCTTTTTTCTCTTTCCCTCTCTTTCTTTCTGTCCCTTCCTTCCATCCCACCTTTCTTTGTCTATCCCTTTTCTTCCTTTCTCTTCTTTTCTCTCCCTTTTTCTTCCTTTAGTTTCTTGTCTGTTCCTTCTCTTTTTCTCTTTCTCTTTCCCTCTCTTTCTTTTCTCTCTTTCTCTCTTTCCCTCTCTCTCTATCCCTTCCCTAATCTATCTATTTTCTGACCAGGAAGGCGTGGCCTAATCTGTCAAAGGCCTGGGCTAATCCTGCATCACCCTATTTCCCCTTTCAGAGGCCCCGGCCCTTAATCTCCCCGTTTCCTCCCCCACGACCATCTCTTTCGTTGTCCCATGGCTGTGACTTTACCTTCCTCCCGCGGCTGGCTGCCAGGGAAGGCAAGCCAGGGCTGAGCCATTGTTGTCGCTGGGCTCCCTGTCAGCCCACGTTGCCCTTGTCACAAATGCCTGCAGCTGCTGCTTTTTTTTCGGTGCGGCTGGATTGCAGGCATCTCTCTACCCGCTCCTCTGTTCCCTGCCCAGTCCTTATTGTGCATGCACAACATCACAACAATTACTGATGGTCACAGTGGCGTGTTGGAGAAGCAGAGCAAGCAAAGCCGGAGAGGTCAGTAATTTTCGCTGCAAAAAGCCTCCAGCCGCCGCATGTTTTTTTCGGTGCAGGTGGAGTTTTTTGTAGGCACCGGCCCCACAGGTCCATCCCATAAAGCTTGCTGCACCGGAGGGACTTGCCCAAGCAAGTCCGAGTGGAGTGGTGCAGGAGTCAATGGGATGAGCCTGCATGGCCGGCGCCTAGAATGTGGCCGCAGCAGCGCACTGGAGAAGCAGAGCAAAGCTGGAAGTCAGTCATTTTCGCTGCAAAAAGCCTCCAGACGCTGCTCTTTTGTTTTGGTGCGGCTGGACTCCAGCTGCACCGAAAAAAACATGCGGCGACTGGAGGCTTTTTGCAGCAAAAATTACCGACCTCTGGCTTTGCTTGCTCCGCTTCTCCAACGCGCTGCTGTGCCGTCAGGGATTGTCGCGCATGCGCAATAAGGACTGACTGGGCAGGGAATGGAGGGGCGGGTGGAGAGGAGTGGGGCCAGCCAGGGGCCTGTTTTACTGGTTCTCCAAATTACCGGGAATGGTAATGAACCAGTAGAATCCCACCCCTGAATTGCGCCCTGCAAGGGGCCCACCTTCAGCATTCCTCTGCCCTCCCCCTTGCCTCTTAGTGCCCCCCCAAGTCATCCCCCCCCAGGGGGCAGTACGGCCCGTTTTGGGAACCACTGATTTAAACCAAAAGAGTTGAATATGATCTCAGTATTCCCTTAAGTTTAAACTCAATAATAGATGTTCCTAAATGCAAAATGCTTTACAGGTAGTCTTCAATTTACAACCATTCATTTAGTGCCTGATCAAAATTACAATGGCACTGAAAAAAAAATCTTATGACAATTTTTTCACATAACTGTTGCAGCCTT